GCCAATAATCAAACTGGGAAAAGCTAACAGAAACATGGGGGTGAGAGGTTGGAGTGGAGCAGGAAGCTGGTGATAATTAGAGAGGAAATGAGTCCAGTTGAGATAGCTTGAGTTAAATGTACCTATGAATCATCCAAGTAGAAGTGTCCAAAAAGACTGAGGGTGAACTCTGAGGCATGGGGGGTTATTAACCATGTGGGTGGTGGCTAAAGCCTAGAAAAGTATTGAGACTCCTCCAAAGGGCTGAGCAGACTAAAAGAAAACCACCAAAGGAGAACTCACAAGGGCAGACACAGCAGGACCCAGCAGGAAATGAAATAAAGAAAAGCCAAACAGTGGTGAATGTGCAAAGGAACCCAAAGAAGGTTTCAAATGAGTGGTCAGGAGTATCAAGTGCTATAGAAAAGGATAGCAAAGTGATCACAGGCCTCAATGATGAGAGGCCACACCACGTGTGCCCTCCACAAGAGCAGTTTATGCTGAAGCAATGGAAACCAGATAGGCCACCTGTAAGGTCCCTCCTGAACTGTAAAACTTTTTTTCTGTCCTTAAATTTTTACCTTTATTCTGACATAATAATGCAAATGTGTTTACCACAAAGACGTTGGTATAAAATCAGCACCAAAACTGGGCATCGATGGCTCACGCCTGTAATCCTAGCTACTCAGAAGGCTGAGATCTGAGGATCGCGGTTTAAAGCAAGCCTGGGCAACAAAGTTCGTGAGACTCTTATCTTCAATATACCACTAGAAAAACGGAAGTGGCCTTGTGGCTCAAGCGGTAGAGCGCTCACCTTGAGCTGAACAGCACAAGGACAGCGCCTAAGCCCAGAGTTCAAGCCCTACAACCGACCAAAAAAAAAAAAAATCAGCACCAAAATCTGTGAACATGTATTCTTCATTTCCCCCCAAAAAATATTAACAAGCATGAATGATAACCAACTAACTTTCTGCTGAAATAGAATCTGAATTCTTTTTTAAAAATTTTCTTATTATTATAAAGATGGTGTACAAAGGGGCTACATTTACCCTAGGTCAGGTAAAGAGTACATTTCTTTTTGGACAATGTCACCCCTTCCTGCACTCTCTCCCAGTTTTTCCCTCCTGTTCCATCCACAAATGGTAGTGCATTTCAACGCTGTGTCTAGTGAGTACCACTGCTGCATTTGTTCACCCTTTGTCCGTCCACTTCTGTGAGCACCCCCCCCCACCGTCATCCTCCTAAAGACAGATAAATGAACAAACAAGACAAAGAGAAAACAAAAACAGCAACAAAGAAAAACAATTCTCATTTCCATTTCCTGGAGTTCATTAAGATAAATATTATTTTATATGATCAGAGGCATATCGACATTGCACCTTTGTGTTTCTATCCTAAGAATAGTCTCCTCTGGTCTCGCTGTGTATGAATGCCTAGAGTCTTGTATAATTTATCATGTCCCAGTGTACTTTAGATCTAGCTTCCACATGTGAGAGAAAGCATGCACTGTTTGTGTCTCTGAGCTTGTGAAAAAGTCTATCAACTTCAAAACTACAACTCACCATTCTCCAAACCTAACAAATAAGATCTCAAACTGCAATGGGTTGCAAGGCTTTCTTTCATAAAAATAATTTTCAAAAAAAAGGCAAAGTTCAAGGTTATAATATCTTAACTATGAAGCTCCCTATCTACTTCCTGATGTTTGATCCCAAGGAAGAAGAAGAAGAAAAAAATATAATTCTCTGGCATGCACAGCCTGGAGGAGGGAAAATGAATAGCTTACTAAATACAGTTTCAGTCCAATCAATACACTTCAATTGCTATTTCAATCTTACTTTGAGAATTGTGTTACCTCAGGTAGAAAGGCTTGGTTTCACTATGCAAATTTCTTGCAAAATTCTATAAGCAAATTTACATCTGGTTTCTAAATAAACTACACTCTTGCTGAATTCAGTAAATTACTGTTCAATGTCCTTTTTCTCATTCTGGTACAGTTACGATCATAGGAAAGGATGCTTCTATGCAATTTTAAATTGAAATTATAAAATAGTTCACACATGTTATGGCTCCCCCCAACAAGAGTACATTTGTCTTGGCAGTTCATGTAAACTGGTTAAACTAGTTAAGATCAAAACAATTTTCCTAAACATCTAGTCACCCTAAGAAAGCTTTTTTTTTTGTTTTCAAGTCAACTCCACATACAAATAGTTTTTAAAAAGTTAAACACTTCCAATATTAATAACTAAAATTGTCATTCTTATGTAGTAAAAGTTTGGACTATTTGAGAATTCTGACACGTGCTTTCATAAATATACCACTTATTCTTTGTAGACATGTCTGAATCGAAAGTGTTTTGGGTCTTCTGGCCATTAATCAAATATGCAGCTATCAGTTTTATCTAGTGATACACACACCAGCTTTTAAGACTTGGACCTCTAAACCAAATTTTAATTCAGCATACCTAGAGGAAGTCCCAGAATTCTAATTTTTAAAAATTTGCAACAGATTCTCATGTGTACAACACTGCCATGCCCCTATTTGAAAAGTTCTGGCTTTGGGCAGGATTCCTTTCCCCAAAATTTTGGAGAGCGGTGTAGTTCCTTATTTTAAGCAGGACATGATAGGAAAGATAAGTGCAGAAAATGAAATCCCAATGGCAAGCCATACTGGACAAATGGCAGGGTACCTATCAACTTTCACATGGACTACCAGAGGTATGGAATCAGCTCTAACCTTAACCCTTAGCTCTATGGAGGAGTATTTTCAACAACCACAGAGAAGAATTGAGGTCAAAGTCTTCAGTGCCCCCAATCAACCATTCTGTGCTGAGTATCGGTGCCTCATGTGGGCAGCTGACATAAGCGACATTAGTGCTCTAAGTTTCTCTCACCTAACACCAGATTAGGGACCCAGTCATTCTCTGCCAATTCTTTCTCCCAAGGGAAAAATGTTATACTACATGCTACCTACTGAAGACAGGGAATGCAAACAGGAAGCTGTCACATTAGCTTCTGCTCACTTTCTTCAAGTATTTCTGTTCCACAATTCACACATACAACTGCAGTACAGGAAAACCACAGCACAAGTTGAGATTTTCTTAATGTTTCTAAAGCCATACATCTAAAATATCCTCCTTGAAAGCCACCAGGGAGAGGGGATGCTTCCAAAGAAATTAATAGTACAGTATGTAGAATGAGCAGGAAATGGGATCTGGTTTTAGCTGACATGATCCCCCAAACACCAGCCTATGAGGAACATTTGGGGTAAAGCAGGTGGCAAACATTCCCTTGTTGGTCTCTCCATATTTTTATTTGTCTCCTGGAAGCCTGAAGGAGGCTTCTAATTAAACCTGACAAAGTTTTCACGGAGAATTAGAGAGGGGAGAATGACAGTGACAAAGGATATGAAGTTATTAAACATTGGATTGTGCACACAGTGGAGCAAGCCTACAGTCCCAGCTGCTCAGGAGACAGAAGAGGGAGAATTGAGTCTATAACATGCACAACATGTTAAAACTCTGTTGAAATTTTTTTTAATTTAAATAAAAATTTTAATCTCATATTTTAATCCATTGTATTTATTTCTTTTCCTTCCTCCCTCCTTCCCTCCCTCCCTCCCTCCCTTCCTTTCTTCTTTTTGCTAGTCTTGGGGCTTGAATTCAGGGCCTGGGCTCTGTCCCTGAGCCTCTCTGTACTCAAAGCTGGCACTCTACCACTTGAGTCACAACACTACTTCCGGCTTTTTCTGAGATGTTTTAGAGATAAGAGTCTCACGGTCTTTCCTGCCAGGGCAGGCTTTGAACCACAATCCTCAGATCTCAGCATCCTGAGTAGCTAGTATTACAGGCGTGAGCCACCAGACACCAGATTATACTTTTAAGTATACAAACTATCGGCCAAGATATTGAGCCCCTCAGTGAACATATGTTTTCAGCAGAAAAAATCTCTATTAGACATCATAAAAAAGAGACCCCCCAAAAAACGCTGAAATGGGTATCAGCTAATAAAAACTAGAAAACTGTGAAATGATGTACTAAAGCAGCCATATTATTAGTATCAGGTCCTTAAGACACTTTACTCAACCACCTTAGGATGCTGGTACAAATACAACCATTACATTCAATGTACCTGTGTAAAAATTGAGCTATGCAACTTAAAGATATGGATAGGAAGGGGGAAAGATAGAGGAGTGACATTCATCAAAATGCATTGTGCTCATATCCTGACTTATAGAACTATAACCTCTTTGTACATCTACTTAGTAATTTTTTTAAATGGGAGGTTTCAACTCCAATTTCTTGCATGAGGAGCAAGAAATGTTTCTCTTTTTCTATTTCTCCCTACTCTAACCGTATTAGACTCAAGTAAATCTTTGCTAAAACTTTTTAAAAAATAATTGTTTCTCCTTTTTTTTTGCTAGTCAGGGGGTTGAACTCTAAATGTGGGCTCTGTCCTGAGCTTCTTTTACTCAAGGCTAGTGCACTACTACTTGAGCCACAGTGTCAGGTCTAGTTTATTGGAAATTAAGAAACTCATGGATCTTCCTTCCCCAGGATGGCTTCAAAACAGGATTCTCAGATCTCAGCCTCGAGTAGCTAGGATTCCAGGCATGAACAACTGGCACCCAGCAAATAACTGTTTCTTAAAAAATAAAATTAAAAATTGGCTTTACTCGGGCGCTGGTGGCTCATGCCTGGAATCCTAGCTACTCAGGAGGCTGAGATCTGAGGTTCACAGTTCAAAGCCAGCCCAAGCAGGAAAGTCCATAAGACTCTTAACTCCAATAAGCTACTAGAAAAACTGGAAGTGGCACTGTGACTCAAGTGGTAGAGCGCTCGCCTTGAGCTGAAGAGCTGAGGGATAGCGCCCAAGCCCAGAGTTCAAGCCCCACGACTGACACCCACCCAAAAAAATATTAGTTTTATTTTCTAAGTCCTCAAAACTTTGGAAAACAACAAATCTGGGAACACATGGTCTGTGTTGAGTATAGATTCTGCATTGGCCCATCTTCCGCTGGCTCACCTCGTCTCACCCCAGGCTCTTCTGGCCTGCAACAGAGAGTGGCTTTCTCCTGTACTTCAAGCACCTGGAAAGTTCCTCCAGACAAGTCAACCACAGAAAGCTGGCAAGAGAACCAGAAAAAAAGAAAACTTGTGAGCACACTCCTAAGGGACAAGTCACACTGAGTTTATAAAACCAGCCTGAGCCTCTTGAAAAATCAAGCAGCAGTGACACAGAGGAAAAGACATCAGCATGTTCATACCTTGTAAGCCTGGAAAAACGGCGTGGCCAGTGTGTCCGAGTGACTCAGTGCTTCCCTGAGACCCTCTGAGCAAGCTGACAAGGGACAGTAATGGAAAGTTGCTGGTCTTAAATATGGTATGGGAAGGGTCTGAGCTACCCTTCCACCCTGGGTTCTCTTCATTGTGATGCCGATGGTTTCCCATCCCAAACCACAGTGAGATGTTTTCCAAGGTAAGTAGCTAAGTAAGTAGCTAAGAGCCTCTCAGACCCTTAGGGTGACTGAATCCTCCTGACCATCTCTCTTTCCACATTCCCTACCTCAGTCCTCCCAGTTCCATGCTCTCCACACAACTCACCTTTCCCAACACAGCTCAAATTGAAACACCGCTCTCTCATTCTGGGGAATTAGGTCATCTTTCAGACACCTCTCAAATATCAGCAGCAGCTCCCCGTGAACCTCATGTGCCTCTTCCCTGTACTCAATACACCTGGCTGCCTACATGTGTCAAAGCATTTGCCCCCATTCAGCCTCCATCTCTCCTCCTACTATAATTTCTTACCACCACCTTTCCTGCTCTTCTCACCAGTAGAGGCAGACAAATGCTCACTGCATGCTTCCTACCTAGCTCCCACTAACAAGCTCCCATTTCTTCACTCACACTCTATTTCCCTGGAAAAGACTTGTTGCTGCTACATCTGTCTTGGAAAATGTTTGTTTGCAAGGATGCTCTCCATACTCAAACACAGTGACCATCAAACTCTAACTCAAGTCAATCCCTTCACAATAATGCTTCCTGGCTTCACTGCCAAAGGGAAGAATGGAATCATGTGTAGTCACATTTGCACCACAAAACCATCTTGGCAGGGCCCAACATACTAATAGGTTTGTGCATGCAGAGGCCTGGTTTAATGAGGAGCTAGAAGACATGCCCCACCCCCTTACCCACCAGAACTTCAAAGATGAGAATAGAGCAAAGGAGCTTTTCTCTGGAAGGAAACCAGAGACTAAGTCAATTCAGAAGAACAGATCCAACCCCCTTCAGAATCAGCTAAGCTCTCACTGGAGCAGAACCCTCCACATGCCAAGTGGCTACCTCCAAGTCAAATATCCTCAAAAAGACCCCAGCTCATGTTCAGTAACAGCTTGCAGACGATGCCAGGTTTCTGATCACCCTGGGGCTGCTCCTACATGGGGCAGGACCTCACTGGCATCAAATCCAAGCATTCGCTGCAGGATAGCACCACCTGGTGAACAACTACTCAAATATCCAGGGTTTCCTCCTGTGCACCCCTCACCCCTCCCAGGATCACCTGGCTTCTTTACAGAGGACTCTGGCAGACTGGTAGGGCTCATCTCCCATCTGCTTCAGGTCCTTCAGTACAGACTCCTTTCTTCATACATCTTGATGGAAAAAGTCCACTCATCACAAACCAGCCACACCCAGCAGACAAGTAATCAGAGAATACCCACTGCAGCCCACACCCAGGCCCCTGTCAGACAGACCCTGCTGCCTGGGGGCCCACAGATGTGCATGCCCTTCAAATTAGACCTCAACAGGTTATGTACACTCAACACTTGCTCTCTGACCTCTGCCCCATCCAGAGCAATCAGGGTTCTGTAAGAATCAGAGAAAAACATCCTTTCTGAATTTAAGACTACTACAAAGACACCAGTAGAAATTACAGAGGTCCCATGGGGAAGCAACTTCCTGTGAGAAGAAGGGCTGTCCCTACTGCCTGTTTTTGTGGTGATAAGATCATAGACTTAAATTCTGTATTTGGTCCTACATGGGTTTAAAAGGCTTTATTCCATAATTACAGGAAAAGAAGAGGTCAAGAAAACCAGAGGAACCCTGGTGTTTGAGAAGTTACTTACAACTATAGTCAGAGTGGACTTAGGAGAAAAATTGTCTTGAGCTTTCTTCTCTTTCTTTTTCTTTCTTTTGCCTTTTAGAACCCATTTAGATCAGCAAAAAGGAAAACATGTCATGGAACTTTTATTAACCTGTTTTGGTATCTGTCCATTCAAAGTTATTTGCAATATACATACCAATATTTAAGCCCAAGAAAGTTTTGAGAAAAAAATAAAGCACTATACAAGAAAATATTTTTATGTAAAATGTGTAGTTTCACAAAACATGCCTATGGTAGGGGTTATAGAAACTAAAACACAAGATTATCGAGAGTAACTGAATAAGGAATACAACTACTACCCTTCACTACCTTTTTATTTTCAGATCTAATTTCCATGTGAACTCTAAAAAAAAAGATAATGTTTACAAGAATGAGGACAACACACACACACACACACACACACACACACACTTTTTTCTCAAGTATTATCCCAAAAACCTGGCACTGAGCCAGGCACTGGGTGGCTCATACTTGTCATCCTAGCTACTCAGGAGGCTGAGATTTAAGAAACATGGTTCAAAGCTACGCTGAAGCTGGAAAGTCCTAAGACTCATCTCCAGAATAGCTGTTGACAGAACAAGCCTTGTAATCACCAGAAGTAAAGTCGTGAGCCACGAGCAAAAAAGCTCATAGACAATACCCAAGCTCAAGCCTGAGGATCAGCACAAAAACAACAAACAAAAAAACAACAAAAACAAACCCCTGGCACTGGACCTACCCAGACCACAAAACTATATGTGTTCATGGAGCCGAGCATGCCATCACCTGTACCATATGTTAGTACGAACTGTCCGGCTGGGTGGCATTTCGCAGCTTTGAATGTAAGACCAAAAAGGTTCAACAACAGGGCGAAGGCTGATCAGATCCTACCAGTTCAAGTCCTACTCAACTGCACCAGGGATGAACCACAGAAGATCTCATTTTAAAAGCTGTTTTGTTTATGCTTCCATTTTGAATGTTGTAGCCTAATAGAGAGCAAACTTTAGTGACAGGAAAACAGAGAGGCTTTTGTGGGAATTCCTCAGGCACTTGGTGCTTAAAATCGCAGAGTATTATTTTTAATATGGGAAGGAGTCTCTTGGTACCACCTACTCTGAAGGCTGAGGGAGGAGGATCTCTTGTACCCGCAAGTTGGAATCTCGCCTGGCCAAGGTAATAGAGAAGCAATCATCACTGGAGCTAAGTCTGCATTTTTAAAGCACTTGGGTTTGAATTTAGGACCTTATGCTTGCTAGGCTGGCACTCTACCATTTGAGCTACCACATCCAGCCCTGCTTTTTGCTAGTTGTTTTGGAGAGTCTACCAAACTTTTCTGCCTGGGATTGGCTTTGAACCTCAATCCTCTAAATCTCAGCCACCTGAGTAGCTAGGATTACAGGCATGAGCCACCAGTGCTTAGCAAAAGCCTAAATTTTAGATCAGGTACACGCCCTACACAGCAGTCTGTGTGCATTAGTCACCATCCTCAGTTCTCTTCTGAGGGACCATTCCTAACACATTCTGCTAAATTTCTCCCTGACCTCTCTTTGAGACTTCTTAGATGTGGTTTCATGAATTGCTTTTCTTCTTCCTTGTCCTCCCAGTCTCCAAATCAGGTTTGTCCAATGTAAAGTGTGTGCTCCTTTACTCAAATACCACATGGGCCCCGGCTCTCTAGGTCCAAAGTTCCCAACTCAAGTTATTTTGCTCTCAAGTCACACCAGATGCAAAGCTCTTTCCTATCAGCAGTTTCAGGTCTAGTGGTTCTCTCTCAACCACAAACTATGCTTCTTAGAGGCAGAGCCCATGTCACCCTTCTAATGTTCCATGCGGCTCCATGGTTTCCAGAACAGCTGTTGACAGACAAGCCTTGCCTTCACCTCATTCTCTTCATTCATTCACCTTCTCATTTTCTCTCAGAACTTTTTCTCTTTTCCGTAAAAAAGAAAAAAAATTGACTTAGGCAAAGGGAGAGAAAAGTCACTAGAGGAGATGAAAAATTGAGAAAATCTATGAAAGATAAAGATCATAGCTACATGCTCATCTTACCCAGAAGAGAGCTACAAAGCAAAAAGCAAGCAAGCTTTTGGAGTGACAAAAATTTGACAGTAGGTTCCCACAAGGTTCCAAGAGCTTCCCCGGCACCTCTTCCCAGGCTCTTCCTTCCCAGTCACTGGACTTCCCTTCTGAATTCAACTTGAACAGGAAGGAATATTTGGTTTCCTAGGCCACCTGCAATTAAAACTGGAGGTTGACTACCAGATCAAGGCACAATGACATCTCTGATAGGTGAAAACTAATAAAATCCCAAACAGTAGATTGTAGACAATTATACTTTAAATAGCCTTCTATCCCCTCAAGTGACCAAGGACACCCAAACAAAGCATTTCATATAGCATAATTAGTGGCTCTGAAAGATGACTCTGGAACAAGAAAAAGGCAACAGCCAAACCAGCCCCTAAGACCCAAGTGTTACAAAAAACAACCAGGAATGGGGTCTGCATTCAACTGCAATGTGCTATCTCAGACCAGCAAAATCATGACAAGCTTTCGCACAGGCAGGTAGAACTCCTCAGCACTGCCGTCCTGACCTGGAATCTTTCACCTGCTTTCACCCAGGACTTTCACACCCAGGACTTCTCATCCACCTTTTGTCAGGGTATTTATGAGTATACCTTCTCATCAGACCACAGCCTTCTCAGAACAGAAGGACTGCTGCTCTGGATGGGCACTGTGTCCCCACCTCCTATGACTCACAGCAGAAGCTTGCTGACTCAGCCAGCTCAATCTGCTCAGAAGTTACAGGGCTTTAGGCCCTTAGGAAGGAGGCATTTAAATGAGTATGCCTTAAAATAGCCTAAACTGTTCTGTAGTCTGTAAAAAACAAAGCTATTAATTAATTATCCTGCTTCCTTATGACTAATAATATTGGGTGAGATGTGAGGATTCTGTGATCAATGGGACAAACTTCAGTTACCTTGGGAG